TCGCGGTAGACAAGCTGCCGAATTTTTGGCAGAACGCCTCCAGGTGGGCGCTTTTTTTTTTAGATTGTTTGATTTTGAAACGGTTTAGGGGCCAAGGTCGCAACCCAGGGATGGTATTACGACATGGTTCAAGGTTCAACTAATGAAACCCCAAATTGGAACTCCAATGCTCACCCCTGGCTTCCCTGATTGCCATCCCTGTTCCCCCTGCCCCCCCCCCCCCTGCCGTGCTTTAAAAACGATCTCAGGTCTGACCTCCGTTTGCGTCGGCACCCCGTATGGACGTTGAATCGGAACACAAGGGAGAATTATATGATCCCTCTTCGGGTCCATGGGGGTGGGGCTGAATTCCTGTCTCGGGACTCCCTGACCTCAGTATCGATGACTGGCCTTGGCGCGGTGGGGAAGACGAAGGCGCTCGCTTTAAACTTGGTTTCCTTCCCTCTTAGCATCTGCGCTAAGGGAGCGCATCACGGGTCTGATTCGCGGCAGGAAATTTGGAAAATATTAGCCTGGTCGTTCAACGCTTTAGCGCAAGGTAAGCACCCCACTGTCGATTAGAAAGGCTTCGCCTGGTCCATGGATATCTCCCCCGAACGCCTCCTTCCTCCTTTGTATATATATATACATATAAAAAATTGGCTTCGCCTGGCCCATCCGCAAAATCACCCCGTCCTCCTCCCCCACCCCCCACCCCCATCCTCTGTCTCGCCCATTCCCCAGTCTCTCGCCCCCCGTCGCCCCTCCCCCTCCTTTCGTCTCCCCCCACCCAAGGCGCCCTTCGACCTGTCGCTGCCCCTCTTCCCCTCCATCTGGCCTGGCGGCTCGGCAATCTGCGCGGCGGCGCGCGGGGGTAGACTTGGGCGAAAATGGGGGGAATGGGGTCGGCAGCAGGAGAGGGGCGCTGGGGGGGCGATGGCGACGCGAAAGGAAATGGCCAAAGGCTGGGGGGAGAGACTGGTCGAATGGAGGCATGAGTGATCTCTGTTGTTTCGTGGTTTTGCTTAGCAGGTTCACGATTTGGATTTGTAATTTTGATAGTTGGAGGTGCTGTCGTTTCTTGTCATCGATGGGGGTGCGGTTGGAAGTGCGGTCGTGTCTTGCCCTCCGTCGTCGCGGGCGTCGTCGCGCTCGGCTGGCGGCGTAGGCTCCACGGCCATGGGTGCCCCCATTGCGGGGTGTGTCTCCAAAGGGGGGGGGGATCGGCGGACTGGAACAATGAGCCTTTAGATTCAGACAGGGCAGCTGTCGCTGGGCAGTTTTTATGTGATAGGGAGGCTCCATACAGGGCATTCATCCATTCGGTGTTAGGGGACCTCGAATACTTCACCTCCCTTGGAACTCCGCACCCAGGGGACGACCGTTTTTGTTGGCTTTGCACGGCGAACAAGACAGACAATCCTTGGAACGATTTCGCGAACGCGACTAGGGACGCACACCATTGGTCCTTCCATGAACGCGACTTCGTAGCCAATCACCCACTCTTCAGTATAGATGGCGTTACCCTCATGTGCTTGGCAATCGATCTCATGCACACTGTTGACCTAGGTGTTGCTGGATGCGCCATTGCAAATCTTCTCTACGAGCTGATATACGAAGAGATGCGTGACCTCCGCATCAGTGACAGGGTGTCTACGTTGTGGGTTCGCATTCAGGAGATTTATCGCGAGCTGGACTTGCCCCATAGGCTATCGAACTTTCGGCTGTCGATGGTCGCGAAGGATCCAGGGTCTCCGCACGCAGATTTCCCCGCCCTTTCGCACAGCATTAAGGCCGCCGAGGCCAGGAGCTTAGTGCGCGTGTGCCTGGTCCTTTCGAGGGAATTCCAGGACGCGGCGCCAGATGGTGGTGGGGAGGTTCGCCTACGAACTCGTACGTTGATGTTCAAACACCTGGTGCGTTTCTACGACGTTGTGTCCGAGGGGGGGCAATTCCTTACTGAGCCTGAGTGTCGGCGCCTCGTTTCTGCTGTAGATGGGTTTCTGATCACCTACCAATCGTTGTGCCAGCATGCTGTGTCACGAGTACCTGCTAAGTATAAGTACGGTCTCGTGAACAAGCACCACATGTTGTTCCACCTTGCCAGACAGACGCCACTAAACCCCAGGTGGGTTTGGTGCTACCAGCCCGAAGACTGGCAAAGGTTCATCAGCAAATGTGGCGCAGGCTGCGCGGTGGGATCGAGCATCTACCTTGTCCCAGCAAAATTGTGTGAACGTGTGCGTATGGGTAGGCATTCTTTGGACTTGCGTCACCTCTGCTTATTGAATATTTATAGTGCACAAAAAAAGGAAGGAGGATCAGATACAAGGAGGGGGTGAGGATGGAGGAAAAGACGAAAGTAGACGGAATAACCGAAGTGTGGATAGGACCAGGGAAAGGGGAGGACAGAGGACAAGCACGTGGGCAGGTCCTAGCCCAGGGGCCCGAAAGGGCGGCGGATCTGCAGTTCGTTCCCGGCATCGTGGAGTAGTGTTTTGGCCCAGGCCTACGCGTCCCCGAAGACTTGGTCCAAGCTCCACTTTCTACCACCCCACCACCCAAGAGAAATCGTCCTTCCTCCTCCCTCCCTCCGTCCTTCCATCCCTCCCTCCTTTCCTCCCTCCTTCCCTTCCTCCCTCTATCCATTCCTCCTTCCTCCTCCTCGCCCCCCCTCCTCCCTCCCCCTTCCGCCACAGTGGATCTCTTCTCGAACGCATAGGCCTTGGCCTGCAAAAGCTGGCACGCAGCCAGCCCTGGAACGCTGGCGCGCCGCCAGCCGCCTGGCCAGCTGCCCGTTCCGACGGAAGGGGGGGGGGAGACAGTTTGGGAGGATGATTCGGAGATGGGCGCGGGGGGATGGTTTGATCAGGAACCATGCCTGTGCGAAAATCAAATTGGTATAAAATCGAAACCGAAAAAACATTCGGTAATGGAGGGGCACTAAAACACGAGAAGGATGAGAAGGAGGAGGAGGAGGAAGAGGAAAAGGAAGAGGAAAGGGGGAGGAATGGGAGAGGATGGGGCAAAAAGGGCATATGAGTACACACGATCACGAAGAATGGACGGACAGGGCTTGGTGGATGGACGGATGGATAGACTGCGAGGGATGGATGGAGCAGAATGGAGGGATGGATGGAGCAGTTCGGATGGAGCAGTTTGGATGGAGCCCTGGAGCGGCGCAGGCTTTTCACGTGGTGAAACAGCTCGAGCGCGGGCTGTCTCTTGTTCTTCCTCACACCCCGCGTTCTTCCTCACACCCTCTCTTTTTTTCACTCTCAGGTTTTGTTGTTCTTCCTCACACCCCGTCCTTCGCATATCTCGTTTCTTTCCCTGCCTCCCTGTGCGCCCCATATTGTCCTCCCTCCGCCCCCTCCCTCCACCTGTCCTTCATGCCTGTCCTTTTCCGTCGATTCCCAAACGCCTTGCCTCTCGCCCTTGTCATCTCTGTTCCTCCTTCTCCTCCTCCCCCCCTGCTCCGTTCCTTTGCCCATTCATCCTGACCTAGGTCTTCCTCCTCCTCCTTCGCCTTCCCCCTGTCCCCCTCCGCCTCCTCTTGCTACTTTCTAAACGCATTCTTTCTGCCGTCGGCGTACGGCTGGCGCGCTTCCTTGGCTCATACCTCTGCTGTCGGACGTGCCCCTCGCGCAATTCGTCGGCCCACGCCGATCTGACAAACGTCTGACGTCAGATCATTGTCAGACCAGACACCGATCTGACAATGGTCTGACGTCAGATCATTGTCAGACCACGACTGGGTCTGACAATGGTCTGACGTCAGATCATTGTCAGATCGTTGATTCAGATCGTCGGTAACTAGTCGGTCTTGCATCGGTAACAACACGGTCTGGCGTCGGTAACGGATCGGTCGCGGGTTATCGGTCTGGGGTCGGTAACAGCGGTAACGCCGAAGCGGTCGCGACCGGTCGCGACCGATTTGACCGACCAAAACAGCAGTACCGGTCGCTACCGTTCGCTACTGGGTAATCTCGGGAATCGATGATCTGGGGAGGAGAGGAGGGGGCCCCCGCGAGCGGCGGCGCCGGCCCGGCCCGCGGCGGGCCACGGTGCGGCTCTCTCTCGGGGCCCGGGGCGAGGGCGCGCGCTTCTGGCGAGGGCGAGGGCCCGGGCGCCGCGAGGGCACGGCCCGCTCGCAGCACGAGGGTGCGCAGCTGCAGGGGGGGGCGCGTGCCAAGAATGAGGGGGCCCTGGGACACACAAAGAAATACACACAAAGAAACAGATTCCCCATATGTTTCCATATTTTCTGGGTTTTTGTCTTCCCCCCCACTTCCCATATTTTCGTATATTTTCGTGGGAATCGACGATTCATTGTGTGTGTGATTTTCCTCTCCTGAAAGAAGCCAGCAGGAGTTCGCCAGGGTGCCCTGGGTTTCTTGGACTGCGAGGGGCCCCCAAGAGGATATGGATGATCTTCGATCGACGAATTTGGATCTTCATTGAGCAGATCGCGGATTTCTGGGTTGGGTTTCTTGCGGAGGTTTCTGGTGGCCAAGCCCCCACTGTGCACGTCGGCCGGAAGAAGTAGGTAAGAACATGAAGTAGGAAGGCAGATTAGGTTGATTGGGTCCAGGCCCCCCCCCAGGGAATAACACAACACAGCAAAAGCGCGTCGATTCTTGCAGTAGGAAGGCGCTTGAAGTAGATTGGGATCTGGGAATCCTAAAATACCTACTTTCAGCGACCGGCGTGTAAGGATGCAGGGGCCTTGGACGGCCACGTTGACATTTTTCGAGCGAGGTTGGCCAACGAGAGTGGCCAAGGATGGGCCGAGCACGCGAGGATGCAAGGGTGCTCCTGGGAAGGTTGCCCATCCTTGCTGTGCGGGCTGGCCGTATACGAAAAGAGACCCTCCGACGAACCTTGCACCCACCTTCAGGGAGGGGACGGTGTATGAAGTCGCCGGCTCCCAGCGGTGATTTAAACACCGCCACCCTCCCGCTGAGTCCCAGGAGCAATCCAGTGGAGGGTGTCTGTGCATGTCTTGTGTGCTGCGGAGCCTACTTCTTCTTCTTGTCCGAGCAGCCGCCCTCTCCGCCGTGCTTGCCCGCGCCGGCGCCAGGCTCTTCGTCTTCGCTCTCGCCGTCGGAGCGCTCGTCGTTCTGGACGGTGCCACCGACGAGAGCCTTCTTCGCAACCTTGAGGATGAGGCAGAACCAGAACAGGTGAATGGGGTAGAGCATGCACAGCAACACCCTGCAGGCCCACAGGTCGAACGTGGCACCCCGTACGGGCTCGGTCCCTGGATGCGCGGCGGCAAAGGACCAGGCGTGATAGATCACCACCGGGTACAGGACCAGCCGGGAGGCCAGGAACACCACCGCGCCGAGTCCGAAACTGACGTCGGCGAGGGCGTGCAGTCGGCCTTTGAAGGCGTAGTGGCAGCACTTCGCCACGTTGAGGAACGGATCGAACAAGTTGTGCAAATTCATCACCACGACGCCGATGCGGAGGTAGCCGCTAGAGTAGGACGTGAGTATCAGCACTGAGGTGATGGCATGGTGCGCGAGCATCTCCAGGAAGTCAGACCTGCGCTTCCTGAAGAAGAGCAAAATCAAACACATTGAGTACCAACCAAATTCGAGCACGTAATACGTCCGCATTTCGCGAGCACAGTGGTACAATGACGCGGCAACATCACCTGTGGGTGTCACCGCGCCAGCGTCCGTCATCAGGAGGTTCCAGCCAGAGGGCCAGTACCAAGGGGCGCCGCTGAACAGACGGTAATTGACGTACACCTGGATAGCAAAATACACAGCCTCGCCCCACGCAGTGCAGAACCTCTCACGCTTCCTCGACTTCCTCCTCGGGTCCAAGCCGCTTCCGACCCTAAGCGCGGCTGCCACCGCGTAGCCAATAGCCTCGATGGCCTGAAGTAGGGGCAAGAAAAATTGCATGAACATACAAACTCGGAGGTCCGCGCGGATCCGAGAAATCCGTTTGGACCTCCGAGTTGTTATATTTATGCCATTATTCGTCCCCCTATGAAGGTAGAAGAACGCCAACACCATGGCCAGCGCCAAAGGAACCTCGGCATGCAAGACACGGGCCCCGAGGGAAACGGACCTCTTCAGATCGGGCGTGTCCCCCTACAGGCGGATCTTGGAGGAAATGAAATATGGCCAAACAAAATTCAAGAACAGCCCAAAATAGTCGAACATTCGCCCACCTACTATTTTTAGACTAACTTTGAACATTCCTCCAGTAGAGGGACGTACCGACTTAGGGACCTCTGGAGCTCGGGCCTGCCCCCGTGGACTGGCGGTTCTTCCTATAAGAGCCGGTCTCTTGGCGGCCCCATGGGTCCGTGGAGGGCTCCGCAGGTGCGAAGACAAAGGAAAATCTCCTCCGCCTCCTCCTCCTCCTCCCTCCCCTGTGTCTCTTCCTCCTCCTCCTCCTCCTCCTCCTCCTCCCTCCCCTGTGTCTCCTCCTCCTCCTCCTCCTCCTCCTCTCCTCCTCCTCCTCCTCCTCCTCCTGCTCCTCCCTTCCTCCTCCTCCTCCTGCCTCCTTCCTTCCTCCTGCTCCTCCCTTCCTCCTCTCCTCCCATCCTCCTCCTCCTCCTCTCCTACCTCTCCTCCTCTCCTCCTCTTTTCCCTCCTCTTCCTCCTCGAGAGAAAGACCTTCCCAAGACCCATCTCCCTCAAGACCCGCTTGCTTCGCTTGGCGGCGCGCAAACGGGGGGGGGGGGGGGGGGAGGGGGGGGGGGGGTGAGGGGGAGGGCTTCTAGAAGGCGGCTGCTCCTCAGAAGGCGCCAGCCTGCATCTTGCAGGCAGGCCGCGCGCTTTTCTGAGAACCAGGGGTGCTTCTGAGAAGCCCCCCCCCCCCCCCCCCCCCCACCCCTCCTCTGCGCGTGTGGCTGCTTCACGGCGAGACAGCCAGGGACGCACTGACCAAGGTCAATCCAGACCTGCCGCATGCAAGATCCTGCGCGCGCTGGCCAGGGTCAATGCAAGGTCTGGCGCTCTGGCTGACCCCCGTCTGCACAGACCCCCGTCTCTGGGGAAACCAGAAGGTACCGATACCGCTACTCCCTGGACCTCTCCTGGGGTGCGTTCTGGCCAGGAGTCTCGAAGCGAATCCAGCGGTGGCGACGAGGGCATCCCAGGAGGCCCGAAAAGGGGAAGCCGAGGACAGGTTTAGCGGTAGGGGTACCTTGTCCTCCCCCGAGTCTCCCACGGCTCACGAGACAGCTCGTGCGCTGGATCGCTGGCGGCCCGTGCCGAGCAGGCCCCGCCCAGGGGGGGGGGCCGAGAGCGGCGGGCGGCCCGCCAGAAGTAGGGCCCGCCGCCCTCGGGGGCCGTGTTCCCCCGTGGCGGGAGCCAGGGTCCGTGGCTGCCCGAGGGAGACCTCTTGGCGGCGCGCACCACGGGAGCGGGGGGGGAGGGGGAACGCCTCTCAGGTGAGCGTCTTTTGTTTTGTTCGGCGTTTCGACATTGGGAGGAAGGGGGGGGGGAGGGGGGGGGGGGTCTGGCTGCGGGCCTCTGCTCAATGCCACTGTTTGCCTCAGTGCGTCCTCTGGGGAGGGTCCCCACCCGCTCGAAACAGGCGCCAGAAAACGGCCAAGACCTGCTCCATGGCGGGGGGAGGCGAGGGCCCGCGCCGATCGGCAAAATAATGCACAACAAACGCTCACTTAGAAGAAGGCTGCTTCTCAGAAGGCGCCGGCCTTACACCTGTACATGAGGCCCGCGCCTTCTAGGATGCAGGGGGTGCTTCTGAGAAGCCTCCCCCTCCCCCCCCTGCCCCCCTGTGCGCTCCGCCACGCCTCTACGGGCGCGGGGTCTCCGGGCGGACTGCCACCCTGCACCACGTCGAGGAGCTGCCCGACATCCGCGAAGAAGCCGGCCGCGGCTGGGAGGAGCGACTGGGCCGCCATCGGACCCTGCGCGCCGAGGCCACCTGCGACCGTCAACGCGCAGGATTGGCCTTGCTGGGGAGCTGGGGACACGGGCGGCTGGATGCACGCGTGTGGCAGCCCCGGAGGCCGCGCGCCGGATACGCAGCAGCCCGGCCTACAGGGCCACAGAAGGGCCGAGCGCTGGATGGGCATCTTGCCACACGTGTGTCCAGTTCTCACCTAAGCTGGCCGCGTCATGTACCCCCAAATCAGGTGCGCGGCTTCAGTGGGGGGGGGGGGGGGCACACTGCGGGCCAACACCAAATGTCACTCTGGCGAGGGGCCACTCTTACGCGAAGCCGACGCCTGCGGCGGACCTAGTGTCGCCCAGCGGCGTAGGAAGCGAACAAATGGGGCGTGGGCCAAAATGGCTGCGGCTGTCTCGTCTTCATATTCACATACTTACTGGACATGTGACATGTGTCCCTAGCGGATGCAGTGGATGAGGGAAGGAGGAGGGGGAGAAGACAGGGGACGACGACGACGAGACGAGACGACAATGACGATGGTGGGCGAAGAAGGACAAGCAGCATGAGCTAGAGGTGATAAGCTGGAGGCCGACGACTAACAGGTGGAGAAGGGTCGAGAGAAAAGGGACGAGGAGGGGGAAGGGAGGGAGACGCAGAGAGGGGAAAGAGCAAGATTTGAAATCGATAGGATGACAAGATGGGAGAGGACAAAGAGGAAGGGAGCGGAGACCTGGCAGAACAAGGAAAATAAGGAACTCGCTTCGGCCCGCCTCTTTCTCAAAATCCGCATCCGTGCCCCGAGGCACGAAGTGGAGATCCCTCAGCTCCCTGCGAGCTCTCTGTGGCCAGGGCTGTACTAAGATGCAGATCCCGAAACCATGGGAGCTCCTGGGCGCTCGCGGGAAGCCACGCATAACTGTCCGAGGCGAAAGACAGCAGAATGGCTCCTACCCTGGTCCCTCCAACCCTCTGTCAAGATGGCCCCGAGGACCGCCTTTGAGGCGCCCACAAAAACCCCCAAGAGCCCCGAAGAGGCCCCAAGATGCTCCTCCAGAGGCCGTCAAGAGGCCCCCATATAAAAGCACGCCAGCACACATCCAAGAGGCATCGGAACCACAACGCGTGCACGTTGGCGGGATTGGCAGAAGGCCACTGCAAGTCTCAGTAATGCAATACACTCCCGGCGCCTTCGGGCGCTCTGGGGCGGCCACTGGGGCACTCCTGGGCCCATCGCTACGGTTTCGTGGGCACTGCCTGGAGACTCGAAAACGGCGGTAGAAGCTCTCAATTGACGTCACGGGATCACACCAGCAGGAAACGCAACAGAAGGAGACAGCAAATCGCCGCTCTCTTTGGGAACTCTTGGGGTGACATCCTGAGGCCGAAGGGGGGGGGCCGGCCCCTCTTCGTGGGCCGGCCCAGGCCCAGATATATCCGATCTCTGGATTCTTCCAATGTGTGGTCACTGGAAGTCCCGGCCCCGTGCCCAGGAACATTTTCTCGTTCTGCGGAAGGACGTGGTGTTCCGAAGGGCGTGGTTGGCAAACTGCGGCCTGCTGGGCAGGCGAGGCCCTCGAGAAAACTCTCCGCCGCGCCCCGACGAGGGATCGCCAAGCCTTTGGGGCAGCGTGGTGCCCCCGAAGCCTCAAAGCGCAACTCGCAAACCACACCCCGGCGTAACCCCACCCAGTGTGCGGTGGCAACACATGGGAGCCTCCGATGCCATCTTGCTGGCTCTCGCGAATCGACGCTGGCCGACGCGAATCGATGCACATCGACGCAAATCGGCGCTGAACCGCCCATCCACTTCGTCATCCTCTGCTGATGGCATCGGGTTTGCCCGTATCCTCATCAAATTGAAGGCGCATACGACCCCCAACGGCGCTGGTCCACACTGGCTGGGTAACAAGCCCGCAGACGCCCGTACACAGAAAAGAGAGTAGGACAAAACTCGACTTGATATTGGCTATGGAAATATGTACTTTCGATGCGATGCTCGAGGATAAAGGAAAGGTGGACGAAAAAATGGCCAAAAAAAAGACAAGAACAAGTAAAAATAGAAAAAAAAAAAAGAATACGAGAAAAACGAGAAAAGAAGAAAACACAAAGAAAGTCCAGGTGAGAAAAGGGAAAAAAGGAAGAGAGTGCGAAATTGATAAGGGTCCCATTCGAACGAGAGCGATAGAGAAAAAAAGAGGAAGCAAGAACGGAAAAAGAATGCTCGAGGATAGAGCCACTCTGACCTTACAATGCAAATGTGACATCGCTGCCGGTAAATAAAACAGTGTGAGCCCAAATCCCGGCCAACCCGTAAAAGAAATGACCCAAGACTGCCACTCCCACTGCCACTGCCAGACAAGAACAGGCCGTGTATTGCTTTGCCTCCAGCAACTTACCCAACAACACGCAGCCGAAAACACAGACTCCGAAAACTCCCAACGACGGCTCTGTTCCATTGCAGGCGATTCCAACGACGCCAAGTCCAAGAAAAATCGAGAATGACAAGCTCTCCCACAATATCGAAGCTGTCACGGCGTAGTTCAAAAGCGCAAAATGTCCCCACAGGTGCGCCCCAATCTCTGGCAGGGACAAGAGGCGGATCACTTGAATATGAATATCGAGCATGAGCACAGCTTTTCCAATGCCAGCAGATGGTATTACTGTGTTGCGTGTCAGTCTTGTCATAACAAGGTCGTGATTCACGAAAAAAAGGTCCACAAACCCTATCAGAATAGTCAATAGCGGGTGACCCATCAGTACACTCAAACAACGCAAGCAACGTAAAACTCCACTCGCGCTGATCAAA